CGCTATGTTGCCTGGGCTGGTCTTAAACTCCTGAGCTCAGGTGATCCTCCTTCCTCGGCCTCCCAAAGTGCTAGGATTACAGGAGTGAGCCATTGCACCTGGCTAGATATATTTTTAAGATAAAATCTTATTAATTTAAATGTTGGCAAGCTTCTAAAAGTCTTTTAAAAACATGTTGAATCCAAAAACCATTATCTGGGGGCAAGTTTGAAGCACATGCTTCAAGTGGTTAACTTCTAGACTCTGCCAGGCCCGCCCTCCATTTGTCTGAAGTCAGGTGTCACACCCGCCTCCCAGTTAAGCAGTCCCCATGTCTTCACAGCCCGAGCTTCAAGCAGGAACTAAGCCTTCTTGAATTTTTTTTTTTTTTTTTTTTTTTTGAGACGGAGTTTCACTCATGTTACCCAGGCTGGAGTGCAATGGCGCGATCTCGGCTCACCGCAACCTCCGCCTCCTGGGTTCAGGCAATTCTCCTGCCTCAGCTTCCTGAGTAGCTGGGATTACAGGCACGCACCACCATGCCCAGCTAATGTTTTGTATTTTTAATAGAGACGGGGTTTCACCATGTTGACCAGGATGGTCTCGATTTCTTGACCTCGTGATCCACCCGCCTTGGCCTCCCAAAGTGCTGGGATTACAGGCTTGAGCCACCGCACCCGGCCTGAATTTTTTTTTTAACCCTAGAGCCTTGCACAGTGCCTGGGCCCTGCTGGGTGCCAATATATGTGTCAAATTAATAGATGATTTAATTCATGACACGTGTTGTAGTTCACTTGCCACTTCTGAATGCTACCTGGTTTGTCTCTATCTTTAAGGGTAGTCCCCAAAGGCCTGAGTGTGTGGAGCGGATCCATGCTCTGGACTGGAGGGGGCTGGTACTCAGTACCCATCCCACACTCCCCCGGGAGCCCTTCTGTGGGGTAGAGGCCAGAAAGCGAAATACTACATTTCCCAGGCTCCCTTTCTGAAGCCATCCTCACAGGGTTAACAAGAATTCTGTGCAGAATATAGTTATAACTCAGCATTTATCACCCAGTTCCTTGTAACTGAAATTCACTGGATTCTGACCATTAGCATTCCCATTATTCCTTATAGATTTCCGACCATAGAATTGTAAGGTTTTCGTTTAAGAATTGCTTGAGATGTTTTTCAGATCTTAAATTCCAGCAAAACAACGGACGCCAGCCAGTTTGAAAGCCCCCACCGATGAACGGGATCTGCACGAGAACACAGCGTCTTCATCTCCCCGTCCCGTGACTTCACCCTGCACTCTTCTATCAATCAAGGATCTCCACATGCCAGCCCACTCCAAAACCCTAAAAACGCTAGCCCCAAACTCCTCCAGGAGACAGATTTGAGGTTTCCTCCCATCTCCTTGTTTGGCGGACCTACAATTAAACCTCTCTCTCTGCTGAAACCCGGTGTCTATGCGTGTAGACTTGCCAGCATCGCACAATGGACCTATCACGGGTAAGTTCTGGCCTGGGTTCTAGGTGTGATTTAGGTGCAGCCAATCATATGGCCTCACACGCGCCAGGGCAAGCAGAAGTGAGGTGAGGAGAGGAAGCGGGTAGATGTTGGCTGTTTCAGTGCTAAGCACAGTCCTGGAGGCATTGGGTTCTTCAACAATGTCCCTGGCTGGCCAGCCACGCTGCGGGGCAGGGTCTTCATAACGTTGCTCTAGCAGGTGTGGGGGCACTCTGAGGCCAGCAGCTGGGGCAGTAAGTCCCTGATTCCTGGAACTGCAGCTAAGGTGATGCCTTCCTGATGCCAATCCCCCACCTTCCCAACGGTATCCTAGGCAGCCGCTCTCCTGGCAGGCCCAGGCTAAGTGACCATGCTTTTCGGGCACTATTCCTAGAGGCCCAGCCCAGAGTCCACTCCTCCTGCTAGCCCAAGGACTTTATAAACACCCCGATTCCCTGCACCGTATTTCTTTCCGCTTAAAATAGCCTGAGTGGTCTCTGCTGTTAGGCACTGACTGACCCCTGACAGATACAGTGTAGAAGGACAATTACAGCCCTTGAGGCATCAGGAAACCAGGAAATTAGCTATGATTAGGCCCTGTGAAGTGTGGGACCACAAGGAGAGACTGGGGAGGGTTCTAATTAATCTTAGGCCAAGTTTTTTAAATTGCAGACTCTGGGGCCAGCTATTAAGCCACAATCTAAGACACAAATAAGGCTCTTGATAATAGAAAGCTCTCAAAACAACTAGAAGAACTGTCTTAAGTGAGAGGTGGAGAAAGGCCTCATTAGCAGCAAATTAATATTCATTGTGGGGGACAAAAGGAGGCCTCCAGGCTGTGTGTCCTCCAGGCCTTGCTCCTCAGCACCGAGATCAGGCCTGGACGCCCTTCCCCAATTAATCAAAGACTTGAAGATGCCCCTGTGGGGAAGCAGAAAGACCAGGGTTTGTAACCACAGGCCCAGAGTTCAAATCCCAGCCTGCCCTCTTCCTTAGTAGCTATGCGACCCTGAGGAAGTCACCTTACCTCTCTCGGCCTTGATCTCTTCAGTAGCACAATGAGGACATTTACTGACCGACTGGGTTACTGTGGGTGGACTGATTTATTGTAGACCTGTACATTTAGTAAAGTGTGAATTGTTGTATGGTAGTAACTCCCAATCTTGGTGAACACAAGTTTAAAAATAACAACAGGCCGGCGTGGTGGCTTATGCCTGAAATCTCAGAACTTTGGGAGGCTGAGGCAGGAGGATCACTTGAGGCAAGAAGTTCAAGACTAGCCTGGGTAACATAGTGAGACCCTGTCTCTAATTTAGAAAAATAAATAAATTTTAAACAGAAAACCAGTGGCTCTCCTAGTTTTCATGGTAGAGGCAGACTTGCTGCTAGCAAGGAAAATTTTAAAAATAATCACACTGCTTAAGCCTCAGCAAGTCAGAATCTCTGGGGGTGAGGCCTGAGCATCTGTATTTTAAAACTTCCCTAGACCATTTAAATATACTGTCAGGGCTGAAAAATAAAAAAAAAAATTTCAAGACTCCAGCCAACTGAATGAACCCCTTCTTGGCCAAGGGAACCTCAGAGAAACCTTAAAACTGAGTTCCCATCCATGATGGGATGGGAGGTCCGACATGCCTCATTATACCTCCTCTGTCACTAACCACCAGGAGGCTTTCTTTCCTACGGGTTAAAAAGAATCCAGCCCTTTTCAGTGGGGCGCAGTGCTTCATGCCTGTAATCCCAGCACTTTGGGAGGCTGAGGTGTGTGGATCACCTGAGGTCAGGACTTCAAGACCAGCCTGGCCAACGCAGTGAAACCCTCTCTTTACTAAAATACAAAATTAGCCAGGCATGGTGGTGGGTACCTGTAATCCCAGCTACTTGGGAAGCTGAGGAAGAAGAATCGTTTGAACCTGGGAGTTGGAGGTTGCAGTGAGCTGAGACTGCACCACTGCACTCCAGCCTGAATGACAGCAAGGCTCCATCTCAAAAAACAAACAAACAAAAAAAAAAACCCAGCCCTTTTTGAAGACTCCACCACTGATATCAACCAACAGCATGCCTGCTGCCCCTCTCTTCCACACATCTGACCAGCATTTCTTCCTGGTAAGGGACCACCAACCATGGAGTGGTTTTGGCTCTTCTATGGAAGATGCACTGTGAGGGCTTCTGTGTCCCCTGATTCACCTTTTGACATCAGAGGCCAAAAACTCCACCCTCAGATCATGCTAACACCCCCATTTTTGGACCACGGGATCCAAGGAAAGGCATGAAGCTCAACTGCACATGCGTATATTTCTCTTTTCATAAATATTCATGACTCCTCCTACAGCTTACTGAATATGTATACTGGGCCACCTATTCAGCATAAATCCCCCGTTTTATCCCTTCGAACTTGAAAGTGCAGGTTTCTGGCTTCTGGCCCGAGGCTGTGCTTCCCAACTTGCCAGAGTATATACCTGGGAGGCTGCCATGCTTTCTGAGAAATAAAGCTCTCCTTTCCAAGTTTGTGAACCTCGTCATTCTTCATCTGATGGGACTGGGACCCGCTAGTCCCAGGTAGGGTATGAGTAACTACGAGGTAAAATATCAAGAACTATATGAGCAAGAACACAGAACTTGGGGCAAAAGATCTAGGATTGACTCTTGATTCAATTCAGCCCACTTCTTAGCTGTTGACCTTGGAAAGCACAGTGAACTTTTCTGAACCTCCATCTCTTCAGCTCCTTATAAAGAGGGACAATATTGGAATGTACTCAACAGTTCTGGGAGGGCAAAGGAGATGAGTTACATGGGAGCTGAGCCTATGCATGGTACCTGGAGTAAATGCTCAGAAATGCAAGCTCTTGACATAGCACACCAGTTGCAACCCAAAATGGCATCTCAGTTCTTTGGGGCAGGGGCTTTGTCATATGCACCTACTACATTCTTAGCATCCGGGACTGTGGACGCCACATAGGGGGTACTCAATAAAAAAATACCTGAATAAATAGTCAACATGATGGGGCTCTGAATCTGACCTTCCTACACCCCCCAGTGGGGCTGGCGTGGCCCCATCCAAAGGGGAGGGCCAGGAGCAGAGCGGACTCTCCAGAGGTCAGTTCCACATGCAGAAAGGGCACCACCACCTTGCCCAGCCAGACCCACCTACTGCCCACAGGATTTTTTCTTTTTTTTTAAACAGGATCTTGCTGTGTTGCCCAGGCTGGAGTGCAGCGGTGCAGCCGTAGCTCACTGCAGCCTCAAACTTCTGGGCTCCTGCATAGCTGGGACTAGAGGTACCTGTTACCACACCTGGCTGAATTTTTATTTTTATTTTTAGCAGAGAGAAGTTCTCGCTTTGTTGCCTAAGCTTGTCTTGAACTCCTGGGCTCAAAGTGATCCTCCCACCTCACCCTTCTGAAATGCTGGGATTGCAGAAAGTAGCCACTGCGCCTGGCTTAGGGGGGTTTTTAAATGCTCTGATTGTATTTCTGTTCCTATAGCCACCCACACTCTGTATTGTAAAGTGTGGGCTGGGCCAGTCTCCAGACCTGGTGCCATCCTCGGCGCTGGACTTTGCTGGGGGCTGTCCGTGAATTGCGTCTTAAGGCTTTTTCAGCTTCTCCAAACAGAGTTCTTCGTCCATAATCTGCACCAGAGAAGAAGGAAGGAGACTTGGTGAGGCACTGATGACAAGCTCACAGTACCAGGATGGTTTGTAGCTCGTGTCTAAAATGCATGTCAGTGTGCCCAGAGTCTTGTGTACGAGGACACTGACTGCAGCACCGTTTGTAGCAACAAGCATTAGAAAACAAGCTAAATGCTGAGCAGAAAAGGAATGGATAAATAGGTTCCAGTATATCCATGCCATGGAATAATATGTATAATGTATAGCCAGATCAGGCAGGTCTATATATGCAGAGAACAGTCTTCAAGATACAAACACAAGGTATAGGACAGCAGGTGCACGAGGTCACGTTTGTATAAAAGAGGGTAGAGGGTCAATCTCTTTGCTGAATGAATGAATACATGTACTGCTGGTGTTCTAAGTACATAAAATCCTGTTATCTGTTCCTCTCTGAAACCAGGACCAGGAAAGGCTGAATTTTCCTTGCTAGCAGCAAGTCTGCCTCTACTAGGAGAGCCACTGGTTTCCCTCTTCGCCCAGGGCAGTGGGGAGCGCAAGCTATACTCTGAGTTCAACTGCAGTGGCTCTCCTCGGAAAACATTTCAAATCACCTTCTCTTCTTACCCTTGTTGTTGTTTTGACTTTTACAATATATTAGTGGCTTGGGATCTTACCATGTCTGTGAGGCCACGGATTAGAATAACACAAATCAAAGTTACTGTGTCCCGGCAAGCCTGCAAGCTGGGCATAATTATTCCCATTTTATGGAAGGGGAAAGTGAGGGTCAGAGAGGTCCTAATTACCTAAGGTCTCAAAGCCAGAAAGCGGCAGAATAGGGTTCATTCTAATCCTGTCTGCCTTGCTCCAGATCCTCTTATGACTTGGTAGCACACTGGCCTCTCCAGCAAGGCAGCCTGCCGTGAAGGGCATTCTGACCCCCCACTTGGGATAAGCAATCTCGCCAGTCCCATGTTATTGTATTTTATTCATTTATTTATTTTGAAACGGGGTCTCGCTCTATCACCCAGTTGGAGTGCAGTGGCGTGGTCATAGCTTACTACAGCCTTGACTTCCTGGGTTCAACCAATCTTCCTGCTTCAGCTTCCTGAGTAGCTGAGACTACAGGCATGCACCGCCATGCCTAGCTACTTTTTGTATTTTTTGTAGAGATGGGGTCTCCGTATGTTGCCCAGGCTGGTCTTGAACTCCTGAGCTCAAAGGATCTGCCTGCCTCGGCCTCCCATAGTGCTGGGATAATAGGCATGAGCCACCACACCTAGCTGAGTCCCATTTTAAAGATGAGCAAACAAAGGCACAGAGAAACTAAGTGGCTTCCCATGGCAACCTGACTCCATATGCTCTGCCGTTTCATTTATTCAACTGCCTAGTCATTTTTGGTGTCTATGCTAGGCTGGCTTGGGTATTTTTCTATTACACACAGGCTTCCTGTGCTTTTTGTATAGGGCACATGAAGTCCATTTAAAGTATGCATGGGTACGGGTTAACTAAATGCAGAAACAAGCGGTGGAATCAAAAATTACACAGGGGTTAGGTACTCAAGACATATCAAGTGAAAAATCAGATATAATCCAAAATTTCCCTAGACATTTCCTTAAAGTGCTGACACTTAAGACCCAGGAAATGTAAAAGCCAGAAATTTACTGCTTTGGCTGCCATTGATCTGGGTTAGTAGAGGCCAAGACTAGTTTTAAAAGGAATAAAATAGGATTTCTCTTTCTCATTCTTATGCTTTCTGGCCTTGCGGGTGTAGTTAACTTGTGTTTGTTGTTCACATGCACAGGACGTGGTTCCACAGTCCCTAATTAATTAATTAATTAATTAATTTTATTTAGACACAATCTTGCTCTGTCACCCAGGTTGGAGTGCAGTGGTGCAATTTTGGCTCACTGCAACCTCTACCTCCAGGTTCAAGTGATTCTTGTGCCTCACCCTCCTGAGTAGCTGGGACTGCAGGTGTGTGCCATCATGCCTGGGTAATTTTCATATTTTTAGTAGAGATGGGGTTTCACCATGTTGCCCAGACCAGTCTGGAACTCTTGGCCTCAAGTGATCCACCTGCCTCATCCTCCTCAAGTGCTACGATTATAGGTGTAAGCCACTACACCCAAACCCCTAATTAATTTTAATTAACAGAGCTGTGACTCAGCCTGGAGGGCCTGCACTCACCGTGTGTCCCTTCCGTGTGGGAGGCACTTCTGGAGAAGTCAGAGTGAATGGCTTTCCGCGGTGACGATTTCAGCTCTGAGTTGGCGCCATTGACATAGACAGAGAAGCCTTGCTCCAAGTGCTCCAGCCTCAATTGCATGGGGTCCTTGGTTTTCAAATGCTTTAATATCCTGAAAGAGAAATGGTGGCTTGTTCCTCCTCATTATTGGAGAGTCGGGGCTGCTGCACTCCCCAGCCGGGACTGAACTGCTGCTTCAACAGTTAAGCATCTCTAATCCGAGCCCAGGGGGCGTGTGCCCAGCTGTTTGTCTACAAACAGCCTCTAACAGGCCCATTACCCACGCAGAAAAGCCACGAGGGGGAGACAGTTTGGGGCCCTGCAGGGAAGTTTCTGTAGCCCTCATTCTGAGGCTCAAATACACATTAGCAAAAGAGAACACACCCGGTTCATGCCCCGTGGTGGCCAAGGCAGAGTGAAGGCTGTGTGTATACACTGCTGTCATACAGGCTGGGTGTTCTGAAACGATCCCAATTTCATGCAATTTCACTTGGTGTGAAACTTCATTTGATGTGTAACAAAACGTGGTTTTTAGGCTCTCAGGCTTTGTGAGAGAGATATCACATCACCCCATATACAAATCAGAAAACATCTTTCGTCAGACCAGGTGGGCTAATTTTTTGCTTCAGTGAATAGATGTGTTCTCAAAACACTCACCCCGGGTATTTCAAAGGCCATCATTTCATATTCTAATGCAGTTAAAAAATATATCAATGCAGGCATTCGTTCAAGGTGAATAACGTGATTATCACGTCTTTTGGCTAAAAGGCAGGAGTGCGGCCAGGTCCCTAATTTAGCTTTCACTGAAGCCCATCCTTACACCTTGAGCCTGGTCCTTTACCCAATCAAGATGTCACCCTGCCATGTGACCTCTTCAGGCCCCAGAGAACTGCTTCCACTGGACACCAAACTCGCCAGCATTTTATACACACCTTTAGGCAACCCCACATCAACTACATTTATACAGACAAACAGCCAACCTAGCAACAAGTGTGCCTCTTCTTGTAATTAAACAAGTGCCAATCAAATTGGCAAAATTTAAATTTTAAAAAATAATAGCCATCACGTAAAAGGTGCATACTGTGTGCTAAATTCTGTTCTAAAAACCTAAAGTCGATTCTTATTATTCACAGTATAAGTGGTCTACAAAGTCACAGGGAATTCTGAATCAGCGAATTTGGAACTACCATTCCCAGGGGAAATACAGGGTTAGGTGCCTGTCAGTCTTTGGTCACATTTTCATGAGCCAATCAACACAGAACCTTGTATATGTGTGTTTCTGTTTAAAGATGCTTATTACATCATTGATTCATTCACACCGAACTCACAGCCAAGAGCACTATCACTCATGCCTGAACAAAGCCTCTTAACATATGTATTTTGTTCATAAGGCACATCACAGCCTCATGCTTAGGAACACTGAACAGCATTTCTGCACTATGTATAAGGCCAGTTCAAGCGATGAAATTTCCAGCAGAAAGTACAAAAATGCGGAAAACATGGCACTACATACACTGCAAAAAGGACACTTGTTTATAATATGAGAGGCAGAGAACTGTCTTTATCAGCTGGGAAGGTGTGCATCAAGGGACTAAAAATTTTGCCTCTCTGCACGTGTCTGCAAATGACCACAAAAATGTGGCAAGTATCCACTATGGGGTTATAGATCAGTTTTAGTGATGACACAGATTCATAGGCAGAGAATCAGAGAATGATGATGATCAACCATATGAATATGTTACTCTTTACAACAATCCTATAGCCTAATCCCCTCCTCCCCTTTTTTTGAGATGGAGTCTTGCTCTGTCGCCCAAGCTGGAGTGCAGTGTGATCTTGGCTCACTGCAACCTCCACCTCCCAGGGTTCAAGCGATTCTGATTCTCCCACCTCAGCTTCCCAGGTAGCGTGGACTACAGGCGTGCACCAGCACTCCTGGCTAATTTCTTTGCTTGTGTTGTTAACAGAGACACGGTTTCAACATATTGGCTAGACTGGTCTCAAACTCCTGACCATCTGCCCACCTCGGCCTCCCAGAGTGTTGGGTTTACAAGCGTGAGCCACTGTGCCTGGCCATAATCACTTTTACTATCGCCATGTAGTAGATAAGGAGTTTGAGCCAAAGAAAGGTTACTGAACTTGGCTAAGGTCACATAGCTATCACAGCGTATGGCAGAGTTAGAATGCAAATTTAGGCAATTTGGCTCCAGCGCCTACACCAAAACCAAGACAACTTGTAAAGCCAGCAAGATGAGGTTGAAACTGGCAAACTTAGACACTGCTGGTAATTCATAGAACCTTCGCAGAAGTAGTATGAAAATATAGAAAATGCCATATGTTTGGTCTCTGCCCAGAAAGCACATTCCGGCAAATTATTCCTGGGCATATGAACTCTAGGCAAGAAGACAGTCAGTGTTCGGTAATAACAAAACCCTGGAAGCAACCCAAACGTCCAACAGCAGAGAAGTGGAAGCTGCTATTACACGGATGTTAGAATTATGAAGACTATGGAAACATGGGGGACTGCTTGTGATCTGTTCAGTGGGGGGCAGGGCATGGTGATGAAAGAGGCAGAATAAAAATGATACACAGGCCGGGGCATAGTGGCTCGTGCCTATAATCCTGGCACTTTGGGAGGCTGGGGCAGGCAGACTGCTTGAGCCCAGGCGTTTCGAAGTTAGCCTGGGCAACCCGTCTCTACAAAAAATAGAAAAATTAGCTGGGTGTGATGGCATGCACCTGTGGTTCTAGCTACTTGGGAGGCTGGAGCAGGAGGCTGGCTTGAATTGGGGAGGTTGAGGCTGCAGTGAGCCATGATCATGCAACTGCACTCCGGCCTGGGTGACAGAGACCTTGTCTCCAAAAAAAAAAAAAAAAAAAAAAAAAAAAAAAAAAAAAAAAAAAAAAAAAAAAAAAAAAAAAAAAAGAAAGAAAAGGACAATGAAAAAGAAAAACAAGGTACATATGTAGTAAAGGTAAAGTTGGAAAACTGTATTTGTGGACCCAGTGTGGAAGGTGATAAATATAAAATGAAATCGGCTGTTGGGGGAAGGTGGTGGCACTGTGGGTGATTTCTTTGTTTATTTTTTAAATGTTTCTTTAGCGGCTGATACATTCATCTTTTCACCAGTTGTGGCAGGAACATTTATTACAGACTGCTTATCTCTTGCCAGCCTTGGAAGCCTGGGAGATGCCTGATTTTTAGGCAACAACATAAAACAGAAGAATAACACAAGTAACTAAGAGACCATTTCCAAACACAGCAATAGCTACGCTTGCAGGAGCAAACAATCACAGGACAGTATAGGCACCAGCAGTCTCCGGGGAGCAAGCGGGAACCCCAGGGAGGCTGTGGCAGGGCAGGGCAGGGGATCTGATCACCCAGGCAGAGAGCCTGCCTCAACTTCTCCCCCTGCCTTCTGATGCCACGTTAATAGCCACGGCATCCAGTTGCCCAGGATCTAGGGCTGGCGGTCAGTGGGTGCCCTTCCTTAAGCAGAATGATTTATGAAAATGTAGATTTATGAAACTGATAAATTAGGAGATAATTATTCAGACTGTGAAAGGAATTGCTAGAGGAACTCCCCTACTGCAGCAGAGTGCATCAGTAATATTCAGGTGGCATCAAAGAAAAGTGTTTTTTTAAAAATTTATAGCCTACTTTGCATAAAAAGCTGTCCTGGGCACAGGGGACTCAGATAAATCAGAATCCGCTCCTGCCCTATCCAAAAATCAAGTCCTGCCCGCCTGCCACCTGCCACCCTCTACTGGCTTGCCAGTTCAGCTTTTTCCATGGCACGCTATCACTGGCTAATGTTGTATTATGGATATATCTGTATATTTGTTTATTCTTCCTCCCCTGCACTGAAATCTGAGCCCCTGTCTACGATGCCTGCTGAATAAGGAATGCTCTCAATGGCTATTTCTTTCTTTCTTTCTTTCTTTTTGGATCTTGCTCTGTTGCCCAAACTGGAGTGCAGTGGTGTGATCACAGCTCACTGAAGCCTTGATCTCCCAGGCTCAAGCAATCCTCCCTCAGCCTCCCAAGTATCAGGGACTACAGGCGCGTGCCACCACACCTGGCTAATTTTGTATTTTTTGGTAGAGACAGGGTCTCCCTGTGTTGTCCAGGCTGGTCTTAAACTCCTGAGCTCAATGGATCCACCCACCTTGGCCTCCCAAAGTGCTGGGATTACAGGCATGAACCACTGCACCCAGCCTCAATGCCTGTTTCCGGAACAAGTGACCCTAAGGAACTCAAGGTGGGTCAGGGGACATGGATGAGTACCCTAGTGCTCATAGCTACCATTCATGCGATACACATCACACCCATCATTTCCATTCTATCCCCATGTTGGCCTTTGGGGTCATGTGCACGGATGAGGAAGTAGAGGCACAGTGAGTTGGGAGTACAGGGTGGGATGAGAACCTGACATGGCTAGGGCTGGGGTGGTTAGGGAGGACTCTCCTCCTTGTGGGGCTCCAGAGCACGGACCCAGATGGCAAGGAGGACCCAGTGAGCATAAAGGGCAGGTCTCCGTGTTCTCAGGGGCAGCGGCCTACTTGTAACTAGGATTATGACTGAGTGGTGTCTGAGCGGTGTGGCTGCCATGGCACTACAGATGAGCCACATGGTTCCTCCAGACCTGTCATCTCAGGTTGCCTGAGGGGTTCTACAAGGATCAGTGATTCAAGAATTACCTGAATGTCAACTTGGGGAGAAGGCATGTATATCAAAAGGATGCTAATAACAATAAACATTTTAAAAATTAGCTGGGCGTGGTAGCCTGCTTCTGTAGACCCAGTTACCAGGGAATCAGAGGTAAAAGGATCACTTGAGCCCAGGGTTTGGAGACTGTAGTGAGCCATGATCATGCCAGGGCACTTCAGCCTAGGCAATAGAGTGAGATACCCATCTCAATCAGTCAATCAATCAATCAGTCAATAACTGCATGATGATGATGATGACGTCAAATGCTGAGTTGGATAGGGGGCTTGCTATGGGTCTTCAAGTGCCCTGTCTCACTTCACCCTTCAGTGACCCTGGGATGAGGTTCTGCTGGCCCTGTTTTAGAAATGAACTTGCCTAGCCAGGCGTGATAGCACTCACCTGTA